TAAATGAATGTGAATGTGAACATGACCATAAATCCTAAGCTCACATAAGGAATCAGGGTTATGCCCAGTTCTTCCAAAACTGCTTTGGACAGCTTTGACATGTGGGTGCCACATTAGGGTACTTTACCTGCTCAGATTCCTTCCCTGGAGCTTCTCCAGCATAAGCATTCGGAAGTCTAGTTGAATTCCTGAAGATGTGCTGCATTATACATTTTTAGGAAGGGTTTGGAGCTTGAAGGTAGTGTGTCCAGGCTCCTGAAAATCTGTAGACATTGTTGAAAGTGTGATTTGCTAAAGGGAGAACTGTACCTTTGAGCACTTGTGGAAGCAGTTTCTTTCAAAGTACCTATTATGCTAGGACCATGGTTCCCACCTTTTGTGTCTAAGAAATAATTTTGAGTGATGTTAGAATTTTTGATAGTACATTAAAGGATTAAAAGCTGAATGTCTTTATTATTTTTTAAAGCACGTTACAGAAAGTTGAAAAACTTGTCTATGTACTTGTTCACTGTCTGGTATGTTCCTGTTTGAGTAGAACTATTACTGCCCTGACCTTGTTCTTTTATAATCTATTTTGAGATAAAGTTTCTATCTGTTCCTCCGAACAGGCAGGCTTCCTCTTATTTGCAGCAACAGTGTGGTGAGTCATGCTGAGGCTCAGTGGTTGTCTGACAGAAAGCTTTATAAAAGTGTGGCTCTTTAGTTGAATGAATATAAATTCTATAAATTGTTTAAAATTTGATGGCTTACTTATTCAGGGTTCCTGTTATACCACTAGTTGAGGTCCACTTTTAGAAGTACTAAGAGGTTGAAGACTTGATCCTGTGGAATTTATGACTGTATTGGACAAACAAGACATACAGGTGTGAAAAGCTGGGTCTTGAAGGGTAGGTGAATTTGACTAGGGCCCAGAGGAGGGAAGGAGGCAGTTGTCAAGGACAATGGTAGGTTAGTGCTGGCAATATAGGAGAAGGTGTGGATATAGTTATAAATGTGGAAGAGATGGGCTTGGCTGGAGTTCTGTTGCACAGTGTGGGGCCATGGGAGATGAGGCTGAGTGAATAAGGTGAGTTGTCCTTTGGGGGCCTTTCAAAGGAGATGTGGGTCTGCTCCACGCTCTCCGTGTGCCTGGTTCTATCCTCATGCTGACATGTTCCCCACAGTCTCACTGCACCTGTGTGTTGGTGTTATTCCTTGTTTCCTGGCTGAAAGGGCAAGCAATTCAACACAATATAATGATTTTTCATTGATTTTTTTTTAAACCTTAATTATGGACCTCTGCTGCTGAGGGCCATTGGAGGATTTAGCCTAATGCCAAGTATAAACAAAGAGATAGAAGTTTTTTGTCTTAGGCTGTTTAAATGTTTGTACCTAAAGCCAAATTCTTAGTTTTAGTAGAAGAGCTAGTGGGTACAGACACTATGTGGGGAAATCTGCTCCCTGCCCCATAAGATCAAAGAAATCAAGGGACAATATTAATTTAAAATTCTAAGCCCCCAAGCATCATTTTGCATAACCCTGTTCCCCCTCCTTTAGCCCAGTGCCCCTTGAGATGGCCTTGATTGTCACTTGTGGACAGATACCCTCCTTTTCTGAATGTCCAAGTCAGCAGGAAGTTATGCTTACGGTAATCATGCCAATCACGCAGGTAGGCAGCTTGGGTGGCATCAAGGGGAATCAAACTACAAGATGAAGCAGGGAGGGAAACTGATTTGTGATCCAGGAGCTTTCTGACCTTAGGGACTGTGCCGTTTTAAGACCTCTCTGATATATCCACACCTCCCCTCCCCTCCCCCCTGCCATTTTTCTCCTGACTAGGTTTATTTATTTGCTTTTGCTTTGGGATGCAGTGAGGAGAGGTGAAATGAAAGGGGACTCTAGATAACTGCCTAGATTAATTTCTGTCCCTCTGGACTTAACTTGTTGCTAAGGTTTTAAGGGGCCCAATAGCTTACTGTGGGTGCATGTTGTATTGTTTTTGTTTAAAATAGGTCATGTGCCCAGGAATGCAGTCAAACTATAATGGTGACTAAGTGCCGGAAAGCTGAGAAGGTGGGGGCCCAAGTGGAAAAATGAGCCTGAGGCAAGAGAAGGAGGGCTGGGAAAATGGAAGTCCCAGTAGGCCCACAGGCCCACTTAGAGGTCCCTCCGTGCCTTCACAGCCGTGCAAGAGGGTTATTTTCAGGGCACCAATCGTTTTTTGGAGGGAGCACCCCCACTTCACACCATTAACCGTGGGGGAAAAACAGCCAACCAAAGAGCATTTCAAGGATGGGAAGAAGGGTCCTTACTGCATCCCCAGGGCACCTGCTCCTGTGTCCTTAGTCACTTCTGCTGCCTCATTTTACAAGAGGGGAAAGAATCCCCTCTTCCCCCCAGGACAGGTCCCCCCAGGGAAGGAGGGATACCTGCTTTCAGAGAAAGAAGATTATTTTTTATTCCTTCTGATTTTTCAGGTACTAAAGCCAAGAAAGATACAGATATGATTTGTCCACCAGCTAGGAAGCCATCAGAGATGATTAAACAAACAAAAGGGATGAAAAAACCTAGTTGTTAAGTTGCTTTTAACAAAGTGATACTATTCTCAAGTGGAAGTCAAACAGAATGGTTTTGAAAAGTTGAAACTTGATTTGAAGGACCAGAGCCTATATTTTGATTACAGTGTTGGTCGTGAGAGAGGAAGCTTGCACCTGCTGTTTGGTAGCAGCTTCTAAAGTTCAACTTTGAAAGTTTCTTGCTGCTGCAATCAGGCCCTCAGGGCAGTGCTTTGACCCTTAGTAAAGTGTCACCAAATTGCAGTTAAGTGACCAGGGAGATGAGAGAAGTGTTGTCCTTATCCCAATTCAGGAAATATCTCGATTCTTTCCCCTCTTGCTTCAATTTTGGTTTCATCTCCACCTATGAACTTAGACCTAACTGAAGAGGAGAGGTTTGCTATAATCTCTTCTTTTATATCTGGGAAGTTACGCAAATAAGATTTGGCAGTGAGTCTAATCTTTTTCATGAAGAGTTCAGTTCTTTTGGTCCATCCTGTTGACTATCTTTTACTGTCCTCAGTTCCCTGTCTAGCTGCTAGTATAGGGCGCTTACTAGCAATATGAAACCAAGGACCATATTCACCCAATGGACAAACTCAGTAAATATATTTTAGCTTTAACATGTATATACCCAGAATCTAATCATTCAACCTGGAAGGGGACTAAGTTTGACATTAGAAGTACAGTTTCTACTCGTTATAATTGAGTTAGAAGAAAAACAAATGATTATTGGGTTAGCTTTAGAGATAACACCATTAATGGATATTAATCACTACATATATTTATGTAATAATAACCATTTTGTAGTGATTTATAACATACTGTACTTTGTTTTAGTTGTCATCCCTAAAACACCACAGTTGTGTGAAATACCATCCTCATTTCATAGATGAGCAAATTGGCAATTAGAAAAGTTAGATAACCAGGTTTGGTTCCCAGTTTCCTAAGTCTGCATTCTGTGCTCCTGTAACTTCATTTAATCTACTATTTAAATGTAAATTGAAAGACCTAACTCTCCATAGTTATATGATGTATTTTAAAAAATTGTTCACTTCCTAAACTACCATCAATTTACCTCTTCTGCCCTGTTATATGGAGACAATTGTATGTAGTCTCCTAACCTCTATTGTATAAATTTGACTTACTTAAAAATTTTTTTATCCTCACCTGAGGGCATTTTTTCACTGCTTTTTTAGAGAGAGAGGAAGGGGGAGAGGAAGGGAAAGAGAGAAACATTGATGCAAGAGAGAAGCAATCAATCAGTTGCCTTCTGTGCCGTACGTGCCGGGACCAGGGACCAAACCCTCAGCCCAGGCATGTGCCCTGACAGGGAATTGAACCTGCAACCCTTTGATTACAGTACAATGCTCCAATCAACTGAGCCACACAGACCAAGGCTAATTTGACTTAGTTTTAAAATGACCATTCCTTGCTATAATCATTTCCAAATATTTTGCAGTCCTCCCATTTCTCATTTTCAGTGGCAATATATTCTTTTGCATTAGTATACCATTCTCCCCAGTAGACAGACGTTTGGGCTATTGCCAGATTTTAGCACTAATATATAGCTGCAACTATAAATATCTTTGTAAAAAATATATTTTTCTTTTGAATTATTTCTTTGTGATATAGTGCCCAAAGTGGGAATGCTTGGGTCAGAAGCTGTCATTTAACAGCTTTTCTCAACAGAATCCTTTTCTGAAAGGCTGCACCAGCATGCTGCTAGCAATGTATAACCAAACCCAAACGCCTCTATCAAACCAAAGCTAGAGTGGTTTTTCCATTTAATAGATGCGAGGTGGTACTTTAATAGTTTTTTAATGTGTATGTCAGTAAACTGTTGTGGGATGTTTCCCCAGTTTTTAGCATGTGAATACTGTGTGCCTGTTCTTATCTGCTGTTGGATATGGATGACAGTATTGGAGACAGGGTGTGTTTCCTGATAGATTTTTATCAGTCCCCTAAAACTTTTATGTATAAATCTTGTACTGATGGTATTAATTGTTAATTTTCCCCACTCTTTTGCTTTCATTTCAATCTCTTTTTCCTATGCAGTATTTAAAATTTAAATACTTTAAACTCTTTTAGTTAAAAAAAAACTTTTAAATTCACTCTTTCATTTTTGGGGAGTTTATTATATTGTGCTATGAGATGCTAATCTACATCAGTTTTTTCTTTATGGTTCCAGTACTGTGGTTCCAGTACTGTTTATCACCTATTCTCTGTGAGATGGCTTTGGCATTTCTATAGACACTTTAAAGGAAGGACTGTTCTCCTTGGATTTCTTAGTCATCCTAGTATGGAAAGAGGAGTTTTTCCTTTCTTGTCTCATAGCCCCTTCACTTGTATCCAGATACGTTCTGGACGTTCCTGAGTCCTGACTTGTAAGCCCATGGAATTCTCTCTGGTCTCTGGTTGGCAATGAGTTGTAGTGACTAGATTATCTTTTCTGTCTGGACACAGGATGGCCAACGTACCCGTGAAGGAACGAGTGAAGGTGTCTCAAAACTGGAGGTTGGGGCGCTGCCGAGAGGGAATTCTGTTGAAGTGGAGATGTAGGTAAGTAGCCTCTTGACTCTTAAAGCTACCTGGGACAGAAAAGCATGCTGGGAAGTGAAAAATCTGGTCCTAGCTAGAGTGTGAATAGCCTGTCTTGGGTGGTATGGCCCAGGTGATCATTTAAATACCACAAAGGGCGCATCAGAGGGACAAGCTTTTTTCACATTTATCAAAAGGATTACAGAAAATGTATTTTAACAAATTTTATATTTTTCATGATTATAAAAATAATAAATGTTTATTGTAGAAATTTGAAAAAATAGAAAAGTTTAAAGAAGAAAAGACTTTTAAATTACTACTCAGAGGTAATCACTGTTAATGTATCTCATCAAAAGACATAAATGAAGCCACTATTTCAACACATCTTGTTTTATAATTACTTTTCTTTAAATCTTCTACTCTAGGGAGTTATACCCTCACTCCTGGCTTCCTATAGTTCTCTCCTCTACTTTATCAAAAGGCAAAATAGAATCTAAAGGTTTGGATATATATGTTACAGGAGGCAGAGCTTACAAAAAGTGCCAGCAGATTTGATAATGGCTTTGGTAATGCTAATACCACAGATTTTATGCTTCATCAATGCTAAATTATTTCAGAGTTACTATGTGACTCCCTACCAACAAACTGCTCCTTGTTGGTTGGTTGGAATGGATAGGGAACGCCATGGTTCCTCCTTCTTGGTTAACCTGTACTTGTACTGACAGATATGGGCAGGCTGCTGCCTGTGATGGCCCTGTCTTGCTTGTGTTTGGTTTCTGCTGGTTTTACTGACATCAGTTGCTGTGAATTATGTGGTTGTGGTGATGGAGTAACGTGGGCTTTTATGATGAAGGACTTTACCCTTTGCTTCCCAGGGTTGTCTTTTAATACCAGAAAGTAAAGTTTATTTCTCTACCAAGGTTTTGTCCTTGGCATTTTTTTTTTTGGCTGGTTTAAAGCAGTTTGGCAAATAAACACGCAAAACAGTTACCAGGCTGCCCCAGGATTCTCCACTGTTCACCTGGCATGAACCTGGTTTCTTGTCCTAGGCAATGGCTGCCTACCAGATGGCTCTAGACATGAATTCCAAACCCCTCTGTTTGCTGCCCACTTGAGTGTGCCACAGACTCATGCAAGGGGATATGAAGAGGAATGTGCATAATGAGTGAGAACGCAGGCATCTATACACACTCTACACATGTTCCATATAATATATGCACACACTTGTAAAAACCTCATGAGCAGAAACTCAGTTACTACAAAGTCCAAGCTGCATTTAATGGCCCGTCAAGTCAATTTGCAGAACTTTTCCACATTCCCATGACGCTTGTATTAAGGAGTCTGGGGAAGAAACACAGCCCAGTTTGCTCAGACAGGCTTGGCAGCGAGAGCTGGTGTCTCCGAAAATGGGGATGAATCAGCTGTCCCTGTGCTTTGCTTGGGGCTTGGTAGCTCCAGAATCACTACGTAGAGTTGGACAGGCTGCTGGGATGTCTATATGGGGAAAATGGCTTAGTCCCCACCAGAGAGCCTGGTGTCTGGCCGTCATCTTTCTTCTTGTTGCTCCCCCCGTGCCATGGGACTGGTCTGTGGCTTCTAACCTTTCTTCCTGCTGCCAGATTGTCAAGGGGAATCTTTAACTATGTGTGGATTTCTTTTGTCTGCTACCTATGAGAGCTATTTTCTTTAGCACCTGCACTGTGGTAAGCTGCCTTCGGGACTGTGTTTTTCCATTGCCACTCTTGCCCTACACCCTTTAATAGAGAAATGTAGATACCTGCCGTGAAGATCTAGGCATCTGATCAGTACACTGGTTATCCTTTCCTAAATGGCTTTATTCCTTTTACTTATATATGACCCCATTGCTCTAGTAGGACAAAGGGATGGAGCTTCCTGGGATCACTCTTGTCTTTATCATACCCTAACCAATCTGTTGGGAAAGAGGCATGTATGGGAGTCTTGGAACCTTGAAATGTAGCACTTACACTTCAAATTAGTGAGAATACAGAATGAAAAAAGATTACTTCATCAGGGTAAAAGGTTTCTTTTTGGCCCTTCCCATCCCTCAATCATTGCATTTTCTAAGCTCTGCCTACCCAGTAATTCAAGTCTTATGCATTCTCCAATTAAAAGTGCTATTTAATTGATTTTTAAATTCTTGCTCTCTTTTAGATAGTTCAAAGAATGATTAGCTCACCACAAAGCTCTTTGAGGAAGGGGAGAGAGAGGTTTACATAGACTTAGTCTTGTAGGCCATCCTTGCTAAGTTGGGGATCAGTCAGCCTCTTCAAAGATTGAAGTCAGGTTTTCATTCCATATCTTGATGATCCTTAAATGTGTTTTTCATCTCTACAGTCAGATGCCCTGGATGCAGCTAGAGGGTGATTCTTTGTACATATCCCAAGCTAATTTCATCCTGGCCTATCAGTTCCGCCCAGATGGTGCCAGCTTGAACCGTCGGCCCCTGGGAGTCTTTGCTGGGCATGATGAGGACGTTTGCCACTTTGTGTTGGCCAACTCACATATTATCAGTGCAGGAGGGTAAGTGCTACAGGTTTCTCCTTCCACCCTCTTCCTAAGGATTCTTCAAAGACCATCTGCCTGGGTCTGACTTTTCTGTCTTAACTCCAAAGGGATAAGAAAGAGGACTAGGAGGAGTAGTGGGGTTTTTTGTGTTTGTTTTTTGTTTTCCCCATTAAAGCACAGAGATTTACCAAAGGCACTTAATAGGGTTAGCTGGGGAAGGAAAACAGGAAGAGCCTTTAATGAAAAGTGAAGCTGGTCTTGACACTCCCAAGGGGGAAATTTGTTTTGTGTCTCAGCTCTATTCAACCCCACGTGTACTGAAGAAGTAAAGGTATCTAGAAGCTCAGAACCTTATTGGACGGAACTGCCTAAAGCTTGGCAAATTGGATGTCATTCCGGTCTTGGGCTGTTTCAGTTCTTACAGAGAGAATAATTGGCTATTGGGGTGGGCTCCTTATTTCTCTCCTAGAGATGGGAAGATTGGTGTTCATAAGATTCATAGCGCCTTCACTGTCAAGTACTCGGCTCATGCACAGGAGGTGAACTGTGTGGACTGCAAAGGGGGCATCATTGTGAGTGGCTCCAGGGACAGGACGGCCAAGGTGAGGTGGTCACCCCCTTACACACTGTTACTAACCTTCTGTCTACAGGGAGTGGGGTGGGAGAGGGTGGATAGGGCCGCAGTCTCGGGATTGGCTGAGAGCATTGGGTGGGGGCGGGGGAAACAACACAATAAAGGACTCACTTATGTGCCTCTGGCATGCAGCTCGCCATGCCAGCTTGTGTCCTTGCCAGCTGGCCTGGGAAAGGAGTGGACAGTGGCTGGGAAGCTTGCCACTCACTTGAAATGTGGCGTGAACTCAAAAACAGAGGGCCTGGCCAGCTTTTCCTCCCTGAGCTGAATTTCCTCAAGTTTGTGGGTTGAGTTCTGACCCCAATATTTTATTTTAAAATCTCCCTCTTTTTACTTGCTCTCTGTTTAGGGAGGTTAATTTTTCACCACCTTGTTTATAAGCAATCAGGCTGATAATTAAAATGTGTTTTTCCTGCTTCTCTGGAGACTGATGCGGTCAGTAAGCAGCAGGAAAGTGACAAGAGGAGGGCGTTATTTGTTGCGTCATTGCCAGATTGTCTGGTCTGCAGTTAGACATCTGCCAAGACCCAACAGAATGAGCCTGATAGCTACTGTGACCCCTGCTTTATGGGCTCAGCTCATCCCGTTCGAGTCAAATAAGCTCCCGCCCATGAGACAGAACTTTCTTCTTTGTGTGTCCGGCAGCCCTAGGCAGGCCCCACACGTGCCTGGTCCTTTGGGGCTGCTGTGGGAACTTTGCTGACAATTCATTTGATGGTGCAGGAGGCCTGAGAGTATCCTGCCTGTCTGTTTCTCTGCATCTGGAGACTTCGTAGTGCTAACAGGAGCAAAATGCTTGTTCGTGTCAGCAAACAGGCCTCTAAGACACAGAGAGAGAGAGGACTCAGGAGAGGGAAGTTTCAGTCTTCACTCACTAACTTTTCTGACTCTCTGTTCTCTGGTGACTAGTCCGTCATGGAAAATTGTCACTAATTTATATAAAAAGAAAAGCTAAGTATGTTCTTTTCTGTTTGTGGAAGTTTTCCCTACTTTGCTGTTTCCTACCTCACACTTTGTATTCTGTCCAAGACATGCACACCAGCACAAGGAGCCTGAAAAATCCAGAAAAACTTGGGACCAACGGGGAAACTGAATTTTCTATCACCTGCTTCCCATTCTCCCACCCTTCAGATTTCTGATTGGTCACTGTCTTTGTACCATTCCTTGCAAAGAGACTGGCCTTAAGTTTCTGTGCTGCTCAGAAGTCCATTCACACAGGAACCTTTGGTGGCATGTGTGATGTAGGTCATCTCATCTCACTATAGCATGTTCTTCTCAGAGCTTCAAGCTTCCCCTGGCTCTTATCTTTTCATCCACATTTCTTTCTTCTATCCTGCTCTTTGCTCTGCTACGCTGAGCAGTATAAAACTAAGCTTTGTGACCACACGTAGCAATTCAAAGGTACGGACTGCCTACAGTCAAAGAATGATAGCAGTTTTATCTGGGATATTGGGTTAAGCACCAACTCAGCCCTATTCAGTAACTTAGTTTTTGAAAAGTATTGAAACAGGGTACTGTTTAATTCTAAAATCATCACTTCAGTATATCCTGTTTCTTTTGAGGATTTCTTTTAGGTCAGTGACAGAATCCTCCCTCCTGGTTCTTCAACTTCAGAAAGCTAGTCACTGGCTCCCCAGTGACCTCCAGGGTAGCTTATCTTTTTGGCTTCCTGGATGCTGCTTTCATTTCTTCCTTTCTGTTTCTGTCTTTGCATTTCTCCGCCTTCATCTTTCTGGCCCATTTCTATGCTACCCACAGTTAGTCTTTTATAACTGACTCTCCATTTTCTTTTGGTGGCATTTGCATTTCTACAGCTGCTACTTCAGGCTTGTAATACTCATGAATCTATGTAAGAACTGTCATGTTTGCCTATAAATATCTATAGCTTCTTTAGAGGGAGTTCCCCAAATATGTACTACGTCTTAGGAAAGAGGTTTGTTTTATTGGGGTGAAGGAAACGAAAACATTTTCTTTGTAAGACTGCTGAGCAAGGGACTTCCCAGAAAGCCCTCTTCCTTCCCCTCCCTGAACCTTAGTTTTAAACTTACTGTGACTTAGCTGGAGTTGCCTCTCTGGGCCGTAGCAGGGCCAGCCCCATTCTGAGATGTGGCAGAATGGTAGATTATGTTCCCGGTGGGCCTAGGCCAGTGCTGGCCATCCCTTCATTTCATGCTTTCTATCTCTTCTTTCATTCATTCTGATATGTGCCTATTCGAGGCAACCAGGGCTCTTCAAAGGCAAGGAAGATACAGCCTCTCTCCTCAAGGGGAGCTGAGAGATGCGTGCACTGTGAAGGTGATTGGAAATGGCCTTCAACTCAAAGAACTCAAAGACTGAAGTGTAAGACTCTAGGGAAAGGGCCGGAAAGTTGAGAGGGTAGAGGGATCGCATCTGGCTTGGAAAGGGAGATTTTATGAAGAGGAAACATTTGAATTTATTTTTTCTTCCTCTAGTTATTTTTCAATGCATAGATTTGCTTGTTTGATTTGTAACAATACAGAATGTAACCAGGCACTGTGCTAAGCCCTGTACATTTATTTATTTTCTCATTTTATATTTTAGGGTAATTTTCTGCAGCATAATTATGCTTATAATATATTTTAGCTACCCAGTGTACACTGCTGTACTGGCTTTATTTTATAAGGTTTTCCATCATTATTACAAGTTATTTTTAGTGTCATCCTTAATGGCTTCACAATGGACTTGCCATAATTTAGTCACTATTTTTCCTCTTGGTGATGTTTGTATCTAGTTTTTTTCCTATAGTATCAAGAACCATTATTATTGATGCCTAATATCTACCAAATACTGTGCTACTGTGCTGGGTAATTTATACATATCTTCACTTTTCCACATTTTTTTTAGGAATTTCCAATAATACCTGAAAGATAGGTATTATTTCCCATTTTACACATGAGGAAACTGAGGCTAAGAAGTTATGAAACATCTGTTAGGTCAGAGATAATAAGTAACAAATGGGGTTCAGCCCAGATTTGTCTGATTCCAAAGCCCTTTTTGCTATTGCAGGCTTCAGGGAATATTTTTATTATTTAGGTTTTTCTTCATTTTATGATTATTTTTTTAGGATAGGGTCTCAGCAATAGAATGACTGAGTCAAAGGCTTTGGTGATTAAAAAAAAAGTTTTTTTCTTTTATTTATTCTAGAGAGAGGGAAGGGAAGGAGAAAGACAGGGAGAGAAACATTGATAGGATGGTCACCTCTTGCACATGCCCGGACTGGGGAATGGACCCGCAACCCAGGCATGTGCCTGACAGGGAATCAATACCATGACCTGTCAGTTTTCAGGATGATGCCCAATCAAATGAGCCGCAGCAATCAGGGCAAAGACTTGGTGATTTTAAAGGTCTTGGTACATACAGCCAACTGCTTTTTAAAAGGACCATAAAATGTCCACTCCCATTGAGTTCCATCTCCAGGGACGGTCTTTTTTGTAGTTGACCGCTGAGGGTGAAGGTGTGTTCAGCACCCTCATGTTCCTGGTGGATGATGTGCTGCTGGGCCAGGTCAGGAGGGCCACATTCCCAGGGTGGTGCTCAGAACTGGCAACATGCTCCCTGAGCCACTCCTGGAGACCAGGAACCTCGTTCTGTGGTTCGCACGATCTGGGAATCCACCAGGTCATTTCCTGGAGGGCACTAGTGAATTCAGGCCTAGGCTGTCCCCGTAGATTTTGTAACCAGAGTCCGCATCCATGCCAGAACATGTCTCAGGGAAAAGGCAAACCTCCCTTTCAATACGGAGCTGTCTAAGAGAGGACGTTAGAAGTGCATCTAGTGACTACCAAAGTGGCCTGACTAAAGATCCAGAAAAGTAAGCCGGAATCATGGCACTCCAAGAAATGTGTGGTATTTACCTTTGTTTTCTGCCCCTCCTCATTAAGGATCTTCTTGTCAAATTTATTCTCTTTTTTCTATGTTGAGAAAAGAGCTAACTCATGCCTATGTCCCCCATCACCCGCACAAAATCTAAAACACTCTCTCATTTTATAGGGAAGAGATATCATGTGACCCTAAGGAGGCAGGACCACCCCCACTCCATTACCTACCCCTTAAACCCAAGGAATGTTTCCTGAAAGTTCTTCCTTCTAAGGTGCTGACTGACTTGTGTGTTCCCCTTATAGAACTGCAGGGACCTTGAGAGGTCATTGATCCATCTGGCCGTCCCAGGACCCCTACTTGGCTGCTGTCTGGGGACGGCCCTGTATATTGGAGGTTTCCTTTCTGTTTAGTTAGAGGCTTATTTCCCTGCGTGTGTCATCTGGGGTAGGCTGAGGTAGGAGGCCTCGTGCTTAATGGGAGATTTCTAAATGCGCTGACCGCTGAGAGGGCTCTGTGAGTGTTGATTAGAGTTAAGCCCAGAGTGGCTGCTAATGTACATTCCTGACTGATAGGGACCAGATAATGTGCTCCAAGCAATATTTTTAACCTGTAGGAGATATGGAAGCTTAAAAGAGCTAAGCTTTTCTGCTACTTTTGGTGACATTAGGTGCTAAATTCCGTGCTGACATGAATAGCATTGGATCCTGTGCATTATCAACAAACAAACAACAACACACCACTTTCCCACTTTGAAGTCTCTCTTCTTCTTCCATTCTTTCCATCCCTTGCATCTCTCTTTTATTCCTCTCTCTAGTTCTACTCTAATTCTTTCTCTCTTCTCCCATACTGTGCCTTGATCTTCCTCCCTCCCCTCCTGCCCCAAAGCAAAATCTTGGTGAGAGATAGGAGAAAGGAAATCCACAAACATGGGGAGGTTGCTAAGAGAGGTGAGCCCCACTACTCACTCATCTCAGCCAGGCCTCAGCTGAGGAATGTGAAACTTCTGATTCCCTGGTATAAAAGCGGCTGGGAAGTAAGGGCTATCAGGTGGAAGTGCAAGAGCGCGGTTAGGGCTGGGAGCCAGGCTGTATTTGGGTGGTAGGCTGTCCAGAAGCTGAGAGGCCCCTCTGCTGGTACCCTGCACTCTGTGTATACAGGACAGAAAGGGTTTTCCATTACCACCCCCACCCCCACCTGCACCTGGTGCATCTTCCCTTCACCCCATACCCATCCAGGCACTGCCAACGAGAGCATCTCCTCTCCTGTTTCCAGGTATGGTCTTTGGCCTCAGGCCGGCTTGGGCAGTGCTTACACACCATCCAGACTGAAGACCGAGTCTGGTCCATTGCTATCAGTCCATTACTCAGGTAAGGGAGACATTTTTGGATATGCTTATGTCCCGTATAATAACGCCTTTATTTTACAAGGTCAGCTGGGCTAGAAAATCTACCTGTATATTCTAGATTGCTTTGAGTTACTCTCCTGGAGGTTGTGGGAATCCTGCAGAGATTTGAGGTCTAAGGCTCATTGCATATGTGCATGGGGTTGAGGTAACCTTCCAGGAGCCAGCTTCCCAAGCGCCTAGCCCAGGGATGTGCAGGAAAAGATACCATGTTAGAGTGTAATTGAGTCCAACTAGTACAGCAGTGTCCTTTCTGGGACAGATGCCCTTCCAGGTTGTTACTAAGGCCAAGGCCTCTCAGCACCCCAGAGAGGTGACAGTACCAGCCAGTCTGCTCTCACAGTTCACATTAGTGGTTTGTTCCCCTTGGAAAATGTCTCCTGGAGTCTCCCTGACAGAGTTGAGGCATCAGGAGAGGCCTGGGGCCTGCGTGCCATTCGGCTTTCATCCAAAGACGTGTATGTGGAGGAGATTAATTGACCATTGTAGCAGAAGTGCCAAAATTTTGATGATGACTTTACCCTACCCTTTGGCCTGACTGGTATTTCTCCAGCTTTCTCTATCCTGACTTCTGCCTTCTAGGCTCTCATGGGCTAAGGCGGAGCCTCCCTCCTCCCCGGCAGGGTACACTGATGCCCTCTCCTGTACCTGTTCTGTCACAGTATTTACCTACGGTCTTCCCCGCTTCCTCTGTCCCTCACTCCCGAGCCAGGTGACCAGTAGGGAGGCTGCAGGGCTGCCACCCCCCAACACTGGGTTGAGTCAGTCATTTGTTTTATGAGAGTCAGCTCCCCGCTTTGCTCAGCCCCCTTTCCTCCTCCTCTTCACCCCAAGGAGCTTGCACCCCTCCTCCTGCCCCCATCCACGACTCCCTTTCAAATTTTTTTCTTCCTAAAGAATTAGAGCCGATTAGCCACGTCATTAATTCTTCAATTTGACGGCTGATATAGCAGGACCTGAAACACATTGCTGACCCCAGAGAATGGAGACCCCATTCCTTAGCATATTGACGATGGGAGAAGTTAATTAAAATTCCACAGAGCGGAGGTGTCGGCTAACCTATAAACCTGTCGCTGTTCAGAACAAATCATTCTAGCAATCCTAGGAAAGAGGGAAGGAAAGGCCAGCAGGGAGTAGAGAGGCCTAAGTGTGTGGGAGCGGAGGGTGGAAAACGGAGCCATTGAGCTTTGTCCGCTCCTCAGTTTCTTCCTCCTGCTGCCCCTTTTTAAGCCAGTGAGCTGGCTTTGGGGTCGGTGGGCTGGATCTGTGTAAGGACGGAGAAGGTGGGACAGTCTGTGGGAGATGACAGGTGAGCTGGTGACTGTCTTGGTGGTTACCTGTGGACTTTTGCCAGCTTCAGGAGACTAGGATGGGGTGGGCGGTTGAGGGAAGTTCTTCACTACTGGAGATGGTCCGTGTGCTTCCTGCACTTGGGCTTGGGCCAAAGAACACAGACTCTCCTAACGCCCTTACCCCATATTCTTCTACTCTAGCTACCTCTTCCGGAGTGTGCTAGGCGGCCTGTTAACAGGATAGAGCACAACAACTGTTGAAGGTGGTGCCAATTAGAAGTTGAGGACAGTCTGGCCATTAAGTTGTGGTTTAGATTACAATTAACTGAGTTTGAGGGGTTTGGCTACAACTTGGAGACTGGCTTTGAGGAAGGACCTAGCTTTCTACTGCTAGTATGCCCTCTGACTGCTACCACTACTAGCAGCTAACATTTGTTCGTCATTAGCTCTATGCCAGACCCTCTGCTACGTCCTTGATATACCTAATTTTTGGTGAAAACTGAGTGTTATGTTTCCTTCATGTTCTCCTCCAGAGTCTTGGCATACTTTCTTGACCCTGGGATGAGTCTTTCATTCACTGTTGGCAGGCTGTTCAACTCCTGACCCACAGTTATTTGAGGTGACCTTTCCCCTAACTCCACAGATGGTATCTTGGACTCCTTAAAAATAGTTTGCATTTGGGATTCTGCTATTGCACTACGACACCAGGGTGTATGCTGGTGTTATCTCTGCTCCTTTTTCTCTTACTCAAAAATATCCTGGGATGGGGGCCTTTTTAAAAAAAAGATTTTAGTTAGTTATTTATTTTTAGAGAGAGGGTAAGGGAAGGAGAAAGAGGGAGAGAAACATCAATGTGCGGTTGCCTCTTGCGTGCCCCCAACTGGAGACCTGGCCCAAAACCCAGGCACGTGCCCTGACTGGAAATCGAACCAGTCACCCTTTGGCTCACAGGCTGGCACTCAATCCACTGAGCCACACCAGCCAGGGATGAATTTGAACCTTTCAATAAACTCATTCATTTATCCCAATCTGGGAGGTACTGCCTCCCAGCCTTGGGTCTGTTCTGGGAGACTGAAGTTCTGCTGTGCCACCAGCCAACAGAGTGGCCTCAGGTAAGTCATTCCCTTCTCTGAGCCTCAGTTTCCTCATCTATTACATGTAAGTTTTTTTACATGTACTCTATTTACATCTATTACATTAAAATATTTACACATATTTTAAATATTTAAAATATGTGTAAATATTTTATTACATGTAAATATAGACTTTTGTAGATTGTTGTGACTATGACCTGAAGCAATGAATAAGAAAATAGTCTACAAAGCTAAAGGGGCTATAATATGACGTCACCAGAATCCCTCATCTCCGGTGTAGCATTCATTCAGTGGCTCTTGGGTCCCCACTCCTGGCCAGGGCTTTGGCTGGTCCTGGTGGAGTTATATCGCTCTTTCGCAGTCTTATTGAGGTGGGGATTCAGCAGGAATCTCTCTTTCCTCTCCTTTTCCTCCTGTAATGTTCCTGCGCTTGATGGCTGCCTTTTGTTCCTCATCCTGCCGCCTTCCCTGTTAAATGTGGTCATCACTGCCACTAATGTGATGAGACCCTGAACCCCTCATGAAGAACACGGCGGGGGACATGGGGAGCAGCTGGCCTCTAGGGCAGGTACACCTGGTTCAGCTGACAATTGCTCACTCCCTCACAGCTCCCTCATCCAGTTAGAAGGAACCTGGACAGTTAGGAGATCTAGCACATCGCTTTTCTTAAGTAATCTCTTTCTTCTATTGCAAATAATATGTCAGAACTATTTATCATATTTATCTGATGCTGGGGCTTTTCTGCCTTCTTTTCTTTTGTGTTTTCTTAGACACGTGTAGTGTGAAACATCAAACCTCAAGCCCTAGGCTTATTTTGAGATGCTCATGACTGGAAGAAAGTAGGTACTCTTTCCTGTGCCCAAATGTCACCTTTCCTTCCTTCCATGACCTTGAGACCTTGATTCATAAACAGTCATGAAGATGATACTTAACACCAGTTACACACTTAGAGCTGCGTTTAGGCACTCAAAACACACAGACAGAAAGCCAGTGGTCTCCACAGCAGGGGGGCGGGCAAGGACCTTTTACTCTACCTCTTACCCGTCTTCTCGTCTTCTCGCCCTGATAGCAATAGTTGTCTTTTTAAGATTCATGACTTGTAGATGAAGCCCTCCTCCTGTAGAGGAGGCCTGGCCTGGGCTGTTAACGCATGAAAGAAGGGTGGATTCAGCTGGAGTAGCGTGAGATGCTGGAGGCGTGCCTGCGGTGTCAGGCCATGTCCGGGGGTGTTTGCGGGGCTGAGGACGTTCAGTCCAGCCGGTCTCAGAGATCTACCGCTCGAGGTCACATTGGATTCTGAGCCCTTTTCCATGAGTAACATGGAAAAGCAGGGTTTTTAAAATGTGGAATGTTTTGTTGCCATCTAGAATTATTGCAGGCTGAATAAAGTTAGTAAATACTCAAGAATGAGGAAATGCAGAACTGTTAAAGACTTAATTTCATTCCCTTCCGCTTTTCATCTTTTCCTTTCTTACTCCCTGTTCTCCTCACTTCCTGTGCACTGATGGAACACTTACTCTGAGGCAGCTCCCCCAAAGACCCTATTCATTGGGGGGGATAAGATGGCTAATAACCGTAATGGTTGTCACAGGATCCTGAGTGCCTGCAACTAGGCTGTCTTTGATTGAGGGGAAGAGGAGTGCCATGCCGGGCAGAGGGAGGAATCAAGGCTTAGGGAAGCTTGAGGTAGGACACATGGTGGGTGGGGTAGAAGAGGCAGCAGTTGGTGCTCTGGTCTTAGCCGGGTGCCATGTCCTGTGGGCTGAGGGAAGACCACGAGGCAGGCCCCAGGCCATTGCCTTACCTTTACCACTAGCATCTTGGATAGTGGCCGTGGCCCTTGAAGGGCTCTGGGGGGACTGGGGCCAGAGCTGACATAGAGGGAGTGGTGGAAGGCAGTGTGTAATCGAGGCCTGGGCTCACTCAGACAGCTGTAAATGCCTGCCCCAGGCCAGGAGTGCGATGCCCGCAGATCTTCAGTCTGCAGGGCCCCTCTGGCCAGCCGTGGGGGCTCTGACGGTGAAATTAATCTATATGCTGCTTGCCCTGTTTGCCTGGCAGGGGAAGAGTGAGGAGCCCGCAGCTCCTCCTTCCTCTGCAGACACCATATTTATTACCCTCAAGAAAAAGGAGGTGCTCAACAGAATCCGTCCCCCATCTCAGAACAACGCTTGCTATCTGTGAGTGAGTGTGGTCAGGAAGGCTTCCCAGGACACTTGGGTTTTAATCCCTTCTCTCTTGTTTCTGTCATTAGGGAAATATATGAGTGGTATAGGTGTAGAAACTTGACTTAGCTGTGTTATTAAATATACAATATAATTTTGTGTTACTTTGCTCACTGTGGTGGCCTGTTTGTTTTTGGGGGGATTAGTCCAAGTCTGCATGAAATGTACCGATTCAAATTTGTAAAGTGAGTTGTGGCCTCTGGGGGGTTTTGATGGAGCAGCTGCCCCTTCTTGCTTCATTTCTGCAGAGGTGAGGGAGAATCTGGAAGGAAAGCAGGCACTGTGTACTGTTTGGTAAGGGGGTGGGTTTCTGGGGAGAGCAGGGTGTTTGTTCCAGTGGCTACAGGGTTTACT